GGGGTCCTCACAGTCTACCCGGAGTAACCGAAACCGAAAGTTGCTGAGAACCGGGCTCAGCGTCCCTCATGTGTTGATGAAACTGATCATGATACAACTGGTAATGATTATGAATTTATAAAAGACTACATTATTTCGGCTATTCTAAAATCCTGAACCTAAGATAACTCCTAGCCATCCTTGCACCGGGGTATACTTACTCAAGAACAGTACCAACCAGACCAACGTCACCCATAGCTGATCTCTTCTCGCCACTAAGGAGGCCCCCCCAGCTCACCATTGAATTGCCTTCCTCCCTCGGCAAAACCAAGATCTCTCTACAAGAACTCAAACTCCTGCAAATTGCAGGTTACAGGGCAACGCCCCAGCTCCGGCCAGCGTCGTTCTGGCATCGGCAAAACAGAGGCACAGAATAGAACAACTCTGTGGATGTCAATCCGAGTGTGACCCTCTCTGAACTCCTATACCCCGGATGTAAGTAAAAAGCTAAGCGTTACCTAAGATCCAGAGCCAGAAAACTTTGTATGACGTTATTAGAATGAGGCTTGGAAGTCAACCGCCGAAGGCCTAACAAATGCTTCACAACCTCAAGCTCCCTAAACAACCCTTCCAAAGCTCTTCGAGATTATCTCACTCTCTGCCAAGCTCTTCCAGGCCTCACGCCCCAGTTCCTGCTAGGTTACAGGGCGACACAACTCACCCCAGCTCCGGCCAGCGTCGTCCCAGCAGCAACCCTAGGTTGTCCCATAAGATGCCCACCCCAAAGCATCCCCAGACACTCTACCAGGCCTCAAGCTCCTGCATCAACAGGTCACAGGGCAACGCCCAGCACCGGCCAGTGTCGTTCTGGCGTCGGACGACCACGGTTCACTGAATATGACAACACCCAAAGAACCTAGGAAGAATTAATAGAAGTCCTGGAATCGTAAACATTCATAGGTCCCCCCCGACGGCCATAAACTTTCAAAATTCCCCTCTTAAAACAGGATAAAATTCAGGAAGAGGTTCGAAACTAAACCAAACTGCCAAACATCCACAAAACCCCCCTTCAACCAAAGGACCGTCAATCTCGGTTTTCAGTCCTCGTACCAGAACCCACATGATCTCATACTCCCCTCTGCTAGGGTAACAGGGCACCACAACCCTTCCCAGTACCGAGCATCCTAGTTCTGACGGATAGGAAGTGCCTTCCTCCCTCGACAATTCCTTAATCGACAAACCCCCTAAACAGGTTACAGGGTCCAAGCCCCAGCGCCGACTTCGTTGGACGATCTGGTTATGCCTTCCACCCTCGGCATAACTCCATGAGCCTCAAGCTCCCCCTGGGTCACAGAGCCAAAGCTCCAGCACCAGCCCATGTCATCCCAGCCTCGTCCTCCTGACCTACTCACCTAAAACCAACCAACTTCCTCTGTTTGAAAGTCCCCTCTTTCCCTTCCATCTTCCCCTTTTAGTTCCCCCCCTCCTCCCTTTTGAATCTAGCAAGGCCGATCGCCTAATCTGAAAGGCAGATCGTAAATCTGTCTGAGGAAAGGAGCTGATTACACCTACCTCCCAAGCCTGTCCAACCTTACTCCGGTAAGACATACTACAGTGGAGCAACCATCTCCCCTGCTGCTGTACCTTATTTCCTCTCTGCAGTTAGCCCCCTTCCTGCAGAGCGCGTCCTTTCCCCCCAGCATACCGTCTAAACCGTCCAACCCCCGCACCCAGCCCCCTCCTTACTGGAAATCCAAGCAAGAATAAAACGAGAACATGAAACAGAATGAAAAAAACCTTCCGGAACATTCTTTGAGTTACAAGAGCAAGAAGGTGCTTGTGATCGTAGTCTAGGTCATAGTGAACATGGAAGTCAATTTTAGAAATCGAAAATCAGAAACAAGATTTGAGATGTGAATTTCAAGAAATCAGGAGTTTTGTAGGAAATTTGTAGGAAATTCGATAAGAATTGAGTTGGACTAAACGAATATCGAGAACAAGAAAGTGCTGCTGAACATAGTTTGGATTGTGGTGGATTTTCTTTTTTTGAACTTGAGATTAAGAAAATAACTAGAAATTTACTAGGATATCTTGGATCAAAAAAATAGGTTAACGAATATCAAGAATCAAGAAAGTAAAGCTGAATAGAATTGAAAAGAAAATTCCCCGAAAATCATAACGGATCACTTCACGCAATACTGGGTGGATCAAGAGCAGGTTATCTGAATGCCCACCAAAAAGGCGGTCATACTCTGGAAGATCATAGCGCCAACCACATCCTAATCATGAAACTAAGTTTTTATGAAAGCTTACCTATGTTGAATGTTTTCCCTCGCTGCCTTCATCCCTGATAACACCCCCCCCCAGTCGTCTTCCTTTACGCCTAGCAATTATCCTCCCCAAC